GTACTGGGGGTGGCATGATGAGTGGGGTCCCACAAGAGTCAGTACTGGGGGTGGCATGATGAGTGGGGTCCCACAAGAGTCAATACTGGGGGGTGGCATGATGAGTGGGGTCCCACAAGAGTCAGTACTGAGGGTGGCATGATGAGTGGGGTCTCACAAGGGTCAGTACTGGGGGTGGCATGATGAGTGGGGTCCCACAAGAGTCAGTACTGGGGGTGGCATGATGAGTGGGGTCCCACAAGAGTCAGTACTGGGGGTGGCATGATGAGTGGGGTCCCACAAGAGTCAAGTACTGGGGGTGGCATGATGAGTGGGGTCCCACAAGGTCAGTACTGAGGGTGGCATGATGAGTGGGGTCCCACAAGAGTCAGTACTGGGGGTGGCATGATGAGTGGGGTCCCACAAGAGTCAGTACTGGGGGTGGCATGATGAGTGGGGTCCCACAAGAGTCAGTACTGGGGTGGCATGATGAGTGGGGTCCCACAAGAGTCGTACTGGGGGTGGCATGATGAGTGGGGTCCCACAAGGGTCAGTACTGGGGGTGGCATGATGAGTGGGGTCCCACAAGAGTCAGTACTGGGGTGGCATGATGAGTGGGGTCCCACAGAGTCAGTACTGGGGTGTGCATGATGAGTGGGATCCCACAAGGGTCAGTACTGGGGGTGGCATGATGAGCGGGGTCCCACAAGGGTCAGTACTGGGGGTGGCATGATGAGTGGGGTCCCACAAGAGTCAGTACTGAGGGTGGCATGATGAGTGGGGTCCCACAAGGTCAGTACTGGGGTGGCATGATGAGCGGGGCCCCCCAAGGGTCAGTACTGGGGGTGACATGATGAGTGGGGTCCCACAAGAGTCAGTACTGGGGGTGGCATGGTGAGTGGGGTCCCACAAGAGTCAGTACTGGGGGTGGCATGATGAGTGGGGTCCCACAAGAGTCAGTACTGGGGGTGGCATGATGAGTGGGGTCCCACAAGGGTCAGTACTGGGGGTGGCATGATGAGTGGGGTCCCACAAGAGTCAGTACTGGGGGTGGCATGATGAGTGGGGTCCCACAAGGGTCAGTACTGGGGGTGGCATGATGAGTGTGCTCTCCACAAGAGTCAGTACTGAGGGTGGCATGATGAGTGGGGTCCCCACAAGAGTCAGTTTGGGGTGTGGCATGATGAGTGGGCTCTCCACAAGAGTCATTACTGGGGTGGCATGATGAGTGGGCTCTCCCAAAGATGTCAGTACTGAGGGTGGCATGATGAGTGGGCTCTCCACAAGAGTCATTACTGGGGGTGGCATGATGAGTGGGCTCTCCACAAGAGTCATTACTGGGGGTGGCATGATGAGTGGGCTCTCCACAAGAGTCAGTACTGAGGGTGGCATGATGAGTGGGGTCCCACAAGGGTCAGTACTGGGGGTGGCATGATGAGTGGGGTCCCACAAGAGTCAGTACTGGGGGTGGCATGATGAGTGGGGTCCCACAAGAGTCATTACTGGGGGTGGCATGATGAGTGGGCTCTCCACAAGAGTCAGTACTGAGGGTGGCATGATGAGTGGGGTCCCACAAGAGTCAGTACTGGGGGTGGCATGATGAGTGGGCTCTCCACAAGAGTCAGTACTGAGGGTGGCATGATGAGTGGGGTCCCACAAGAGTCAGTACTGAGGGTGGCATGATGAGTGGGCTCTCCACAAGAGTCAGTACTGGGGGTGGCATGATGAGTGGGCTCTCCACAAGAGTCAGTACTGAGGGTGGCATGATGAGTGGGGTCCCACAAGGGTCAGTACTGGGGGTGGCATGATGAGTGGGCTCTCCACAAGAGTCAGTACTGAGGGTGGCATGATGAGTGGGGTCCCCACAAGAGTCAGTACTGGGGGTGGCATGATGAGTGGGCTCTCCACAAGAGTCATTACTGGGGGTGGCATGATGAGTGGGCTCTCCACAAGAGTCAGTACTGAGGGTGGCATGATGAGTGGGCTCTCCACAAGAGTCATTACTGGGGGTGGCATGATGAGTGGGCTCTCCACAAGAGTCATTACTGGGGGTGGCATGATGAGTGGGCTCTCCACAAGAGTCACTACTGAGGGTGGCATGATGAGTGGGGTCCCACAAGGGTCAGTACTGGGGGTGGCATGATGAGTGGGGTCCCACAAGAGTCAGTACTGGGGGTGGCATGATGAGTGGGGTCCCACAAGAGTCATTACTGGGGGTGGCATGATGAGTGGGCTCTCCACAAGAGTCAGTACTGAGGGTGGCATGATGAGTGGGGTCCCACAAGAGTCAGTACTGGGGGGGTGGCATGATGAGTGGGCTCTCCACAAGAGTCAGTACTGAGGGTGGCATGATGAGTGGGGTCCCACAAGAGTCAGTACTGAGGGTGGCATGATGAGTGGGCTCTCCACAAGAGTCAGTACTGGGGGTGGCATGATGAGTGGGCTCTCCACAAGAGTCAGTACTGAGGGTGGCATGATGAGTGGGGTCCCACAAGGGTCAGTACTGGGGGTGGCATGATGAGTGGGCTCTCCACAAGAGTCAGTACTGAGGGTGGCATGATGAGTGGGCTCTCCACAAGAGTCAGTACTGAGGGTGGCATGATGAGTGGGGTCCCACAAGGGTCAGTACTGGGGGTGGCATGATGAGTGGGGTCCCACAAGAGTCAGTACTGGGGGTGGCATGATGAGAGGGGCCTGCAAGGGACGCCTGTCTCTTGCAGGTCCCTCTCAAATACAACCTACCCAACATTCTCCACCTGACTCCCCCCCCGCACTATATATACTCAGGTACTCTTCACCCAGGTAGATTTGTTTGTGACTTGATAAATTTCACTGTGTGGGCGAAACATAGCCAATAAAGGATCAAATTATACTGCGTTTGTGTTTAATACTTTTTTTTTATCTCCACCTCTAATTATTTCTAGTATAAAACTCTAGTAGTATCCTCCACTGACCTAGCTGAAGGTGCAACTCCTGCCTTATTTAAATGAACTCTATCCCTAATATATACGTCGGTCTTGTCATAGAAGTGACCCTGGTAAAATACACTACAAATTCATATCTTTTCTGCTGTATACGAATGTGGTTTACATGTAGCAAAATGCTGTTGAGCACAAGAGAAAGCTACTCTAATGCGGTGCCTTTCGGGCAGACTAATCGCCGGCAGACAGTCGTCTGTATGAATGGTGCTGCAGTATCTTTGGAGTGCTTGTCCGGCCAGCAGGTGACACCAGTTGCACTGGGCAATGGTACGTTTTAAACATCCTTGGAAAAACGCTACATGTTACAGGGATCCATCTCTCCTTCCTCATTATGTTTATTACTGCCCAATACTCGTGAAGCAAGTCCTCGCGTCTACGCTTGCCAACATCATTGTCTCCTGCTGTGAGGCAGTTAATAGGGCTGCTTCCGGTACCCAACATGATGCTGTTAAGTCCGTTAATAATATCAAGACATCTTAGCCCCTGGAAAACACGCTCTCTGCCTCCCTATCCGTAAATTTATCCAGGAATCCCCATTAAGAACAACAGTGATAATTTAGACGTGTGCGCAGCCATTAGATATCCGGATTTTGTAGATGTTTCGTAAATCAGTAGCTTTATTAATAAAAACACTGACA